GTTTTGGTTAAGATTTCTGAGGATGAGAAGGCGTAAGGATTTTGGTACGAGAAATCGCGCTCGGTTCATGCTGAAGGGGTTTTCTTTTAAGACTTTTCTCCCCCCACCCCCCCAAATTATTGAATATCGCTTTTAGGCTAGCTATATTGGATTTCGTGATACCAGGAGTGAATCAATCTCAGTTGAACACTATCCGCTCTGTATTCAAGACTGCTTCTACAATATCCAGCATCAAATCTAGGATCTATCCCTTCTTCTTCTGCTTCCCATTTATCACCGTTCTCCAGTCCTACTCCTCATCCTCATCTCCACCTTGAGCCCTACGACCGCTTCTTCCATTAATAAAATTACTGCCATTCAATCGGATTCCGTCGGTTGCGAAACCGGACTTCCTACCAATTATTTTCACAATTCTGACTATGCCTATATGTCTCATCTTCCTACATTCGCTCATTATAATCTTTTTCTGGGATTGAATTCTGCATCCTGTCAATGAGATTGAGCATGCTAATTGACGGCCTAGGTTGAGAGCTTAGAGGAAGACACACTTGAACCCGTCGCGGTTTGGTTGTTGCGAGGTTGAGGAATATCTGGGTCTGAGCCGTTCACTGAATTACTGGCATTGAGGAATAAAGCAGTTGAGGGAATTATTAGTGATATACTCAACGTGAGTGTTCCGCTTATCTATAAAAGCAAGGTTTTCGACCTGTTTTCTTCAAAACAATCTCCAGTATCTGCACCGAACGTATGCGCGTTGGGAAAATCCAACCGACCTAGAATTCGGAAATAGAGGTGGTTTGAATGATATATAGGGCTAACTAAGGAGAGTGGAAAACGCGCGCTGCGTGCGCCAATTAGAGTCAATTCTATACTTTGTTAGAGCTCAAAGTCAACAAATTCCAACCATTAAGATCATTATGGTACTTTCCCCTCGATATTGGAATTTTATGTCTTTCAAACTACATATCAACCCCTCTACACCGGCGCTTCCAACAGTACGTAGTATGTACTGTATGTACGAACTTGTATGAATGATGCAAACCATACGTGGGAGCTGGGCCCATATATACATAACTTGAAGCTTAAAACTTGTATGTAGAATCTACATAATTACGGTTTTAATATAATAGCCTGCCTATCGTTAAGAGAGTTAATGTGAATGGGGGTGCTACTAGCAGGGGGTCGGGGGCTCCAAAAGGAGCATTGATTGATTGCTACGTACGATACCAGGTCATGACTCAAAATGTTGCGTGAAGAAAGAAAGAAGACGGTTGTGAGTAGATATTGTCATGGGTAGGCCTGTGCACTGGTGCGAGGCCTATGCCTGAACACGTGATGTAAATAGGGGCTTCGCGGAGAGGAGTTGTCACACGTTGTTACTATAAAAGTACTTACTCTTTAAATTTAAGCGTCACCTGTACACGGGTCTGCCCGGAGCACTGCGCATACCAGCAAGTCTCCAGAAGCCTCCTGCACACTCACAACCTCTCCGCTGTCATAACCGAAAGCCGGTCTTAGTATACTATCTTTCCGATTCTAATGAAGCGACCGCGGAAGTAGCATCCTATGTTAACAAGGAAGAATGGCTAATCCGGGCCTTCTACCGACGCAATAAAAGCGAGATGTATACTATGGAATTCAGCCTGGATCACCGCTCTCATTTACCCTTTTCACCGGTTGAGCGCGCGTTAATTCTTCCCCCCACCGTAGCTTCTGACGGCGAACTGTCTTAGGGCCAGGCTTACTGTTCTCGACACGGGTCTTTGTGGATGTTGAATTTCTCGCGACCAACTGCCCTTAACCTATCGAACACCTAAACGACATCAGCTACGGTGAACTACAGTGAACAACTAGAGTTAGCCCTGTTTGAGAACACTACTTAAGTCTAATTATTAATCGGCCGTCTAGAGAGTTTAAATCAATCCTCGGATTACAGCACTCGACATCAAGGAGGATAACTACTAGACTCTATCACGAGCAAGCCATAGTTTCATTTCTATATAATCTACCTCCAACTTATCCTCAGGTTTAAGATTCTCGAGCTCCACTTCAAAACCAGCATGGTATGAAATAAATAATAGATCCGGCTTAAACTCTCTGAGATCCTGCAGTACCCAATTATTCTAAAACATATTGACATCCTAGAAGCGTCTTCACTCCACTGTATAGCCCCTTGTGTATTGGTCCGTTGTGGTACGACAGTATTCTGTTTTGCTTTCAGTAAGCAAAGAGATAGAACTGAGCTTATTCGCCAGGCTCACCTCTGTAGCCCTTCCATGGTTCATCCATCATCCCAGCACCAACTGGCCAGCAAGCAAGAGTAGCGCAGAAAGCTCCGGGACATGGCCAAAGCCAAAGCCAGCGGACGCCGCACCTGTAGACTGAGGTGACGCCGCGTTCCCGGCGCTAGTATGAACTGCATTGTTTCCGGAATGTCCAGTGGCAATTGAAGAACGGGTAGGGAAGGATCCTGTCCCAGTAAGGGTATCGAAGGTCATGGTTCCGCCAGGGCCGTTACAAAATTTGCCCAAAGGGCAGCAGCCGTTGGTGTCGCAATAATCGCCAATGGGACAGTATGTGCTGCTACCGTCGTCGCAGCAGACAGAGCCCAATGGCATGCAGCTAGAGTCGCATGCCACTTCGTCATTCTCGGAGCATATATCCTCTCGGAGGATGAGACGTGTGCGAGATTTTGGTGTAGCAAGAGTGAGATTTAAGAAAAAAAACGAAGCGAAGAGGATGACACGCATCGTTACAGCTTCTTTGATAAATGAAATGAGGAAACTGTTGCGGCCTTGAGGTGTTGATGGTGACTCGTTGTAGGTAAAGGACGATTTTAAATTGGAATGTATCATCCAGAGGTGCGCTTGGGTACTGCTTCCACTCTTATATAGACGGAGACCGACAACTGTTCGCCCAGTTCCCTCATGGATGTCATGCGGCCATGCCATTAAACCGCGATAAGTCAGAGGGCATGGCATCCAATCCAGCCAGCCAACCGTGCAATATTAAAATTGCAAGTATTAACTGACCCTCGCAGACGCCGCGCCACCGGGCGGTTGCTGATCGTCATGGACTCCAGGTACAGTGTGACTCGGAGGCGACTTGGCAATTAGGTGAAGGAAAGGAAACCGATCGCGTTCGGTATGAGGTAGGGGTAACCGTACGCCACATGTTTGAGGTGATATTATTTGGTGGTCTGTCAGATCCTTCACCAGGAATTGTGAAAGCTTAAAATAGCGCAGATCCTGCTAGAGGGCGCTTGCCGCCACGCACAAGGTCAAAAAACCTAGATAAACTGCATTTCAGTCTAGCCAAATTCATCGGTCCGATGAGGCTCTCCGCGAAAAGGGGAATTTGAAAGGGGTTCTCTATTGAAGCTGGCAAATTTCGGGATTCAAAATACGAATTTTTGTTTGCCTTGTTGCCTTCCGTACCTTTGGCTTGCTGCCTAATTAGTTGAATACTATTTTAGTCTCCTTTGTTACACAACGCAATAAATGATTCAAGGGATCGTCGATGCCTCATTCCGCAGAACTCTCAGACAGGGCATATTTAATGATTTGTTTGCCATCCATTTTGCCTAGAAAAAGCTCATTGTCTCGTAGTTGCCGGCAATTTTTTTTGTACCTCACTTTGCAGCTTCTTACTGTGCTCTGAAAGCGAAGAAGTCCAAGACGGTATAAACTTTGCGACATTAAGGAGTTCATAGCTTAGTTTTCCCAGGCTGAGTTGCATACCCCGTTGCAGACGCTCCAGCACAAAGATTCTTTTCGGAGACTTAAGCGGATAGACCAGAAGCGCTGTAACCGCGACCACTTCTTGCGATTGTACGATGGCCGCTTGGATCTCTTGCTCGTCCAAGTTTTCGGCCTTGGAGCTCTTCCTGAAGAGCCTTCCCAGGAATGGGTCCAAGTACCAATGAGTACGAAGATCACGCCTCTGAACAAAGTTCTGTATTGGACCCGGTCGAGCACTCAACAAAGGTCCGGGGCGCTCAGAGTTTTTGACAAATACCCATACCTTGACGTGGCCTTGAAATGGATTCCTTCATGTGCGGCTATGCTGCTCCTGGTGAATTAATATTTGATATCGCTCTCTTTCATATCCTTTCCGTAACATCAGTATTTGGTGCTAATACTTGAATAGTTTGTTTTCTCCCAAATATTGAGGAGGAAATCGGAAACAACGGGTTTCATGACCCAGTTAAGGGGCGAGACCGACATTATTCGAGAGCGGCGGGAAACCCATGCGAAGATGATCCTCGTAGCGGGAGAACGGCCCAAAGAGCTAGGCAGCTTATGGGCTCCGAGGAGCATGAGCCACTTCTCAACGCCAATATCGAGCAAGCCCCCAGAATATCCGCGGTAGAGGACAGGATAGATACTGGAGCATCACCCGAAGACCTCCACGACCAAGGAGACTATGTTTTCTAGTAAAAAACAACGGTCCACCTGATGTTCCAGAGCAGTCATTCGAAGTCCGTCCAGGGGAGAATAACAATGCGGAATATGTTTTTATCTCATATACACGAAGGAAATTCTGTGTTGAGAGAGATATAAACCCGGGTTGGGCAACCAGAGATCGGCGAGAGCTGTTAAGATTCGCTGTGGCAGCCACATGAGCAGTCGGGGTGCCAGCCTGTTGGATCGACTTTAAATGCGTAGCCACAGATAGAGCCAACATCGATGGGACTGATGACGCCCCTTAGGAGATACGAGTGATGTCTATGAAGACGTCTACAGAATCTGCGATGTTGTCCGCGGCGCTCATTCAATGGCTGCGGTTGTTGGGCCGCCATGTGACAAAAAGCATGCGGGAGAACAAGATCGCCAAAACTGACCTTTTCTCTGGGCTTCTCGGATGTGGGTTTTTACCAGAGTTATTGTTAGCCCCAGGAGAACACAGAGTGTGGGTATACATACAGATGTCTGGTGTTGACCTGGAAATATCGCGCCAGAAGCAGTCACAAAGCGTAAAATCGCAGCCACCCAGTCGAGCCAGCCACCCAGTTGGGCCACCCCTAAAATTGCCTTTTTCCTACACACGCGTTCGAACATTCGCCTCTACATTTTCACAATTTTCACACTAGCCATGACTCTCCCTAGTTCAAACGATGCGCAATTACCTCAAGAAGCTCGCATCCAGCTTTCAATCGACGCAGTTCATCAAAAATCGATCCCTTCCCTCTACCAAGCCTCCAAAACGTTCAACGTACCATATTCGACCCTCAAAGCGCGTAACGCAGGCAGACGCTTGGCCAACGAATTCCAACAATCTCAGCAACCTCTATCTACACAAGAGGAAGCATTAGTAAAGCGATGTATACTTCAGATGGCAGCCTAGGGCTGGCCAATCTCAATATAACACCTGGGAGGCCTTGTAATGGATCTGCTTCGAAAACAAAGTGATAAAGAACCTCTAGGCCACAATTGGTACAAGAACTATCTTGTCAGACATCCTAAGATTAAGCTAAAGTTCGCTTGCTGTCATAATCAGTTGCGGAAAGACGCTGCAGATTACAAATTGTTAAAGAAGTGGTTTATCTTGTATAACGAGATTTGTATAAAATATAGGATTCTAACAGAAGATTAATATAATATAGAAGGAAAAGGCTTTATAAAAGGCGTAGGAGATAGCTGTAAAGTGCTTATTCCTATAAAAAACAAAAGCTAGGTTAATACAGCCAAGAGATCGCAATTAGGTTTCTGTAATTAAAGTAATTAGAATAAATAGATATACACTACCTCCTTTTGTAATCTTTTTAAAAAACAGATTTAGTACTTATAAATTAATAAAAGAGTTAATTTATGTACAATTTTATAAGTTAGTCTAACTAATTAAATAAATTATTTAATTCTATTAACTTAAATTTAACATTTTAATAACTATACATAACTTTATATAATAAAAACACGTTAGCTTCTAATTTTAAGTAATTATAATTCTTATGTTTTACTTAACTTTACTTAATTTTGTAAAAAAAAAAAAAAAAAAAAAAAATTTTTACCTACTTTTTTATTTAATGCATATACTTTAATTTCTTAATAGTATCCTCTTATTTTTTATAAAAGCTTATAAAAAATAGGTTTATAAAAATAGCTTTTTTAAAGCTAAATATATCTTAAATTATAAGTTTTTTTTCTTTTTCTATATTACACAATAAAAAGCAAATTTTTTACTATATAATTCTTTTTATATTCTAAAAAACTATAAACTAAAAATACTTCTATTTTTTTGTTTTATAAATATAAATAAAGTACACATTAATATTTAAGTAAATAAAAATTAGTTAAAGTAAATTAATTAGCTTATTTATAAAGTTTTATAAAGTACTACTTTTTAGTATTTTTTTTTAATTGAAATTCTAAAAAATATTAGTTCAACTATTATTACTAATAATACTACTTTTTAAATTTTAAATATCAATTCTATTAAAAAATAAAATTAAGAAAAAAATTATATAAAAAGGTACTATAGTAAGATAAAAATATTAATTATTAAAATAGCTTTTAAAAAAATTAAAAAACAAGAAA